AGGATTGTTAAGATCATGAACATGAGTATGGACCGTCTTTCGTCTTTGGTTTGAAGAAGCAACCACGATGTTTGACATATAAAGAAAATATGTACAAAGTAATAAAACATAAGTTTCTGACGACTTCATCACGAAAACATCTCTATTTATATAGATTTATATGCAAACAGAGACTACCTAATAAGACTTTGACTACCTCCTTCTGTTTACCGAATAACTGAGTACAGTCAGTGACAGTTTCGGCACAAAGATACTTGAGATTCTGTGTTAAAAAAAACTAAGAGTAGAAACTGAAGTTGGAGATGTCAAGTAATCATCTGAAATTTCGGGAAAATAGGTGGAATATATCAAGGTGACATTCAAAACTCTTAGTCAAACTTTTGTTAATTGCTTCTCTAATTTTGTGCAAGGAAGGATCTGATCATTTTGAGGTGTGGGATTGTAAACAAAACTTGTTTCTATACCAGAAAATTTCAAATCCGCTTTCAGCTGTATGAGCGAATAACCTTGGAAATACCAAATGAGATACTGAAAATCATATTATGTGATTCCATTATCTTATTAAAATTTGAACCAGAATGGAATCTGTATAATTATTTTATAATGTGCATTTGCAGTTTAGCAGTTGTATACTTACTATCAATTTATTCTGAAAAAAAATGAACCCATGTATCTAGCAAAAACGACATCAACAATGATATAATTTTTACAAACAGATCCTCGAATTGACTTTCTGCAAGCCGTTGAAAAGCAACATTATGCTCAAACTCATGTGAAGTATCAATAGCAGGTTCCTTTCTCTCGGTTAAGTAAGTAGCTGGCAATGTGCGCTTAACGATACGTACCTGGCCTTTTACTTGAAGTTATCTATGGAGATTGAATCGAATTCGATATGAACGCGGGAATGAATATCTTGTCGCACATCTATTGCCTCCAAAAAGTGTATTATTTTTCTTTTGTGTTGCTTTTGGCAAATTTTAAGTGATACTAATTTAGCAAATAATGCAAATTACCATTTCCTTTAATCAATCATATCTCATTTTCCCTTCTCCTATTTTGCCCGACTCATGATTTGCTGTATTTTTGACAATGAATCAAATTAAGTTATGTCTTGATTTTTGCAAATTAGAATATAAATGTGCATCATGTTTTGTCTCTTAATGATAAAGGGACTTCGTTTTGAATTTTCCCGTTGGAGTTCGGTATTTTTGTTATTTTACTTTTTGGCACTGATTGAGCAAATTCAAATTAACGGAACAGCTTAACATTTTCCATATGAATTCGGTTGTTCTATTCCTATGTGGAATAGTAGTGATCTCTCCGTAAAACTCAAAAGTAAAATACTTCAAAAGCTACTAAAATTACCAAATGTTCCAACTCAAACATTAAGAGACAAAAAAATTTGATCTTATTGTCACATTAGTCAATTATATCTGTTTGGGATGCTCACTCAATTTTATTTATATAATGGAACTATAAATAAATGTCATACGAGTGGGAGGTTTGGTTAGCTATGAAACCTGCTTTGCGAACCATTTTTCTTCAGAAAATACCTGTACCAAGTCGATAATATGACAGTTGTTACTATTTGTTACGTTGGTTGATATAGTCAAACGTTAGATTTTGTCAAGTTTTATGGACGTGCCCCGTTTTTAGGATTTACATAGGAGTTCGGAATTTTTGTTTCCATGCACTTTTTTTGGACATTAAATGCAAATGCAATATGATGTGGAGATGTCTCTATATTATGGGCGATTTGTCTTATATCGTGTGCGTGTTCCCTTATATTTTATGCCAACATGTGATCTTATCATTATATTATTTGTTTGTACCATTATATGATGTGTTTCCTTTAACGTCATTATAAGACGTCAAAACGTCGTTACTTGATGTGCCTTTGTCGTTATTATGGCCAATAAACCTGATAACGATTTGATCGATTAGACCTCTACATCATAACTGATTCGAGTCCACCTCTCAATCAATATACACCTCGCTCATATCTGTAGCATTCGATAATGAAAAGGATGAGTTTTTTTTACAGCGTTTTCATTATGAAAAAGTCACAACAGATATCGTTTCTAAATGATCAAAAAATGAATACCTTAGATTAGGTTTAGTCGATGTGTCTTCAGTAATGAAATGGTTAGTATAATTCTTAAACTAGGCGTCGAGATTCATCTTTTGTTTTGTTTTTATGTTTTTGTTGTTTTTGTTGTTTTTGTTGTTGTTCTCTTAGGGGGGTGACGGGGAAATAAAATGGTTTGTTTCTATAGAATTTATTTGCCATCACGGTAATTTTATAGTACTTCAATCTTAACTTAAATTTCCAAGACTAATATCATCGATTCAAATCAGCATTTTCAGGTATTAAATTCAGTGGTTGTAGTTGTAGTTCATATTTGATGTCCTCGGTTGCTGTCTGTATAAGAATACGACAAGGTCGTTTGATCGCCGATATGACATCTCTCTACTAGAGACTAGATGGTTTTAAATCAATATTTGTACCGATGAAAATAATACTCATATGATGCCAGTTATTCATCAAACAATCGATAATATAGCACTTGAACATCTTCAAGATGTGTGCAATCTTTCTGTGAAGTTTCAAAGATCTCGGTTGAAAATGTGGGAAGAGTTGATTACACAAATTAGGTCCTACATCATACAATATATAAGCCGGTTTTAGATATAATAAAATACTACGCAAATTCTTAAACAAAACTGACAAATTAAATTCACGGAGGAATAACATCCATAATCAAGTTAAAAAGTTTATTGTGCAAAGACATAAATACATGTATAAAAGGGTATAAAATTCATGTAAAATGTAGGTAAAAACAGAGAAACGATTTAAAACTGTCAAAATAAAATAATAACACATTGAGATTTGTTATCTAAAACAAAATTATATTTTCATATAATAAAAATCCTATTTTCAGTACACAAGTAAGGCTATTTAGTAAGAAACTGTAAATATTTCCTTAGAACTTTAAAAAAAGAGAACGTGGTAGGTGCGTTCGACTCCAAACTTAATTGAAAAGGATTGCCAGTTTTCCTGCCGATGGTCAGTGGTTTCATTTTCTCCGGGTACTCCGACTTCCTCCACCAATAAAATTTGGCCGCCACGATATAGCCAATAATGCTAAAAGTGGCATTAAACACTAGCAAACAACCAACCATTCAATTAAAAAAGAGATAACGTTTCCAAGAAAGTAAATAGTTGTATTTTTAGAAATTTTTTTTTTATCATAGACCAGTATTGTGATAATCCTGAGTAGTCGTTTGATGAAAATATTGGTAATACTGCTATTGTTTCCAGGAAATTCAATCGCTTACTGCTTGAAACTAGCCTTCAGATAAAGAAAAAAATAAAAAGATCATATACATTTTGGTTAAAGCACAACAAGTATACAAGGTACAATGTATAAATAACATTATTTTAATTTTATTGCAGCATATGCGCATTTCTACAATCATGGAATCTTCATTAATAGTGATTAAAATAAAATATAGGTTGCGGAACAAGAGGAAAAAGGCAATGACTCTTCTTCTTTGATTGTGTATTTGGTTGGGGATAGAGGGAAACAAAATAAATGTGTCTTGTGTGTTATTTTGTTAACTCTTTACGTATTGGTCAAAAGTTTATTTTGAGGAGTGTTAAAAAAATACTACGCATGCATTAAAAAAAAATAGTGGATTACATTTATACGTAAAGTCGTAACACAACAAAAAGTTTGCGCGAAAAAGATATAAAAAAGACAGCAGTAATGCCTTTTTGCCCGTAAAAAATGATCGGGAAAAATATTTGTTTAACTTTCAAATCAAAATGGTCTTCCTTCTATCGCTACTTGAAATATAAAAAAAAAAACACGAAAAAGTTAATTTCTTCCTTCCAAAAAGATCAACAAGATTTTCAATTTTTACTTAAATCTTCTAATATAGCTATGATATGCGTAATATTGATAGTTCAGTGATATTTGAAATCCAAACAAAAGAACCTTTCAATATAAAAAAAAAAATATTTGATATCCGAATTTATGTTTGAAAGCCTTGAATTATATAATCCCTAAACTGAACAAATATAATGATAATATGGGTATTTCAAAAATGATTAAGAAGACCTGAGTCACATTAAATATAGATTGTCTAAACTCCGTCTTAACGAATTTTGCACACTGTTTTCCATAAGCATATAATCTGATTGTCTCGCATGCCTAATGAAAGAGATTTGGTTTAAACAGTAGATTGTTATTCAAATCAAAAACCTACGTACTTGTTTGACCAAGAGCAATCACAAATAAATTACTTGTTCTAATCAGTGAATCATTGAGACATTCAATTAACTTGAAGCATAACACATATAAAATGAGATGCCTCCCTAGCTCCATACAAATACCACGTGAATAAAGCACACGCTATGATTTGATATAGTGACTCATCCTTAGCCACACACTATATCATATATCTTATAGTATAACACTAGGTTAAATCACGTTTTCTTTCTGTACCCCCTGAACACTTATGATAGCAAATAGTAAGCTGTCACTATCTTTGAAGCCACTAGTAACCTAATCACAAAAAATATAAAATGCTTCACAAAATACAAACCCGTGATGAAATAGACGTACGTACTATTTGTATTCGAATCCTACAGAAAATTCATTGCATATAGTAGATATAGGAAGATTAATAAGATTATTGATGATCATGTTATTATATTATATACATATAAGTATTCATTGAACTAATAATTCTACTTGGTAGGAAAACTAAAATAACATTAGTAAGAAAATTACATAATTGGTTAATATGTGCAATATTGACTTAAATGAAAAGTGTTCTCATACGACAGATAAATACAAAAATACAATTATATTTCATTAATTGATGTTTAACATCTAAAGGCGGGATAAAATCTGTCGACTGGTCCTAAAATAAATCAAAGGATTGTAATATGCTTTCTATCATAAACAACTCATCAAAGATACCAGGTAAAGTGGAGCTTATGCATAAATGATTTGAAAAGATAGGCTCATGTATTTGCCCGGTATATCTTGGAAACTTGATATCACGACGCATATGCACTAATGCACTAATGCACTGTGATCAATATTTATTTGACAATCAATAACTTGAGGCCATTTTGAGGATGCAATGAGCCGCAGGATATTGTATGTTGAGGGCATGATTTTGATTATTTTAGGTGGAGAATATCAACAAAGATGGGTTCCTTTGTTCTCGGTTTTGTCATTAGGTGTATGTCAATACCTCATGTCCTTTCTTTTCCATTGTATTCGAATGAATGCGTCAAAATTTACATTAATTATATAATTTTGTAAGAAAGACGCGTGTTTCGTCTACAAATGTCAAATCAGTGATGTCATTCCCATCTTGCATTTTATCATAGCAAACAGCTGTTTTAAAACTTACATTGACTTAACCCTCCCCCCAGAAGAGTTGTTGTGTTTTGTTCGCCTATCAATTTTGTTTCCAAACTTGAATTAATAAGAAGAAATAATGTTTCAAAGCATTGAATAAACAATTAATGTAAATTTTGACACATTCATTCGAATACAATGGAAAAGAAAGGACATGAGGTATTGACATACACCTAATGACAAAACCGAGAACAAAGGAACCCATCTTTGTTGATATTCTTCACCTAAAATAGTCAAAATCATGCCCTCAACATATAATATCCTGCGGCTCATTGCATCCTCAAAATGGCCTCAAGTTATTGATTGCCAAATAAATATTGATCACAGTGCATTAGTGCATTAGTGAATATGCGTCGTGATATCAATTTTCCAAGATATACCGGGCAAATACATGAGCCTATCTTTTCAAGTCATTTATGCATAAGCTCCACTTTACTGGAAATTCAAAATGATAAGCATCCAAAAAGTAATAATCGAATGAAGTCGAACTGCCTTTCTACCGTAGAATTTTACTATCATACATTTAAAGTGAGAGGTTTAGCGCTATAAAACCAGGTTCAATCCACCATTTTCTACATTTGAAAATGCCTGTACCAAGTCAGGAATATGACAGTTGTTGTCCATTCGTTTGATGTGTTTTGTCATTTGATTTTGCCATGTGATTAGGGACTTTCCGATTGAATTTTCCTCGGAGTTCAGTATTTTTGTGGTTTTACTTTTTTTTTTTTTAAAGATATAAAAAAGATAAGATGCATCAGCGGATTTAAACGAAAGCACGACTCAATGTGTAATGAGCTCGTTTCAACAATTTTAATACCACATGAAATAAAAGAGCACCTGTTGACAAACAAGCGCCAGTACACGAGCCTTTATTACTATGTCTTTAAAGTTATTTTTATAATGACAGATTTGATCCTGCTACAGACATATTGATCAAAAACATTATACATTTGTATGTAATAATTAAATATTAATAACCGCCTCGTTCTGGTGTTATCGAGTGGATCCGTTACATTTCCCTTGACGTGACAATTGTCTTTGAGCATTGTCAAAGGAATGACTTTAGTGCGTATCTTAAGTTGAAAATGTCTCCATTCTTTACTTTCTTTCTATATATAAATCATCTAATGGTTTACCTGGAAAATATGAATAATGCCTCTCGAGAATTTTTATGAAACGAATACAACCATAAAATCACACATTAATGCTTCATTTGCTTCCTATAGAAAAATTTACATTTTTGCTTTTATAATGTATGTTTTTAATCATAAACAGAATGTGGAATGAGTCTTGTTTTTAAGGTTAATGAATTCATGCGGATATTTGGAATGCTGGTTATTTTCAAAAATATTTGAGACTTCCAAGGTATAAAATGAAAAAAATAATTTTAATTTAGGTGCGTTTGTTACCGTGCTTTTTTTTCCTTTTTTGTTAAGTTTTTTTTATTTATTTTGTGCCTATCTGATTAGTGAAGCTGTAGGCTTTTCCAATTGATTTTGTACAGTTTGTTCTTAATTATGTTGAGCTGTAACACCACTGTAAGGGATTAGGGAGAGACGATTCAAGCACTCATAAACTTGTTAAGCCCCGCCTTATTCTTCGTCAGTCTTCCAAAGTAAGGAGTCTGTTAAATTTTGGTTGTCGTTAGTTGTGGTCTGCCATATTTGTTTATTGTATATTTTGTTTGGAATCATTCGTGCCGTTGGTTTTCAATTGTTTTACATATTTGTTTTTTCATACCGAGACCTTTTAAAGTTTACTATACTCTATCGGTTGTGTTCATTGTTGAAGGCTATATGGTATCGTTAGTTGTATCTATTGGTTCACTGGTTGTTAGTTGTCTCATTGGCAATCACACTTCATCTCCTTATTTAAACATTAATTGTTGTAATCCAGTGGCAAATAGTCCATGCATGCTGAGGACGAAAAACAAATCAACAACAAATACATTTATTTAGATAAATCCTGTAATAAAAATCGTCCGGGATGAAGGTAGGGGGCTGCCACTGGAAAACGAGGGTATATTGGATAAGGACAGAAATTCTGCATTGCAACAGACCACCGATGGGACCCACAAAAGAGACGTTGCAAGTTTTCACAACGTGCGGAGAGTTTGGCACTGTCTCTTCACGAGTCATCAGATATAACGTCCTCATTCTGACATGACGTGGATACGTAGTTATACATCCTGCACAGCCATACGGACGCCTCAATTTGGCAAAGATTTTACTGCCGGTCGGCGGAAGACCAGTGTGACCGTATATCTATATTCCCAAGTCATCCTTGGGGACAAAATGTTCCTAATAATTCCTAAAATTTACTAAGACCAAATGCATAATTGATTACAATATGGTCGTAGATATAACAAAAATCTAAGACTCTGTGACTACATTTATATTTGGCACTGTTTTCCTATATTGTTATACGAACACAGCTTACCTGTTGGTAATCACTATGATGGTGATGTTCCCGGCGTACTTCCCTGAATATTTATAAGTGGTACCATTAAGACTTGCCCTGATGGAGTCACGTGTTTTACAACAGGAATCGGAGAATGATTGGCAGTGCCATCTGTGTCTGTTTTGTTATGGTCATGCTTATGATCATGCTTATGTTCGTGTTTATGCTCATGTTTATGCTCATGTTTATGCTCATGCTTATGGTCTGAAATACAAGCAGAAATATGCCTTCCATGAACGAAAAAAAACATGAAAAAATTGAAATAAAATTGAGAATGGAAATGGGGAATGTGTCAAAGAGACAACAACCCGACCATAGAGCAGACAACAAATGCATATTCCCTGCTCGACCATTGCATACAACTTACAAATTGAGGTTTTTGAAGTTCTATTTACCCTGGTTTATATTCTGCTACACAGTCATTTTGTAAATCTAATAAAAAACTAAAGCTCGGTTTGATCTATTTTCCCCCTTGGTTTATATTCTCTTACACAGCCACTTGTTTAATCTAATCAAAATATGTACAAAAGTGTTTTCCCCCTGATGATGCTGGTTTAGTTTCTATTTCACAATCATTTTTTTAAATGTAATCAATATACATAATAACGTCATGTATGCTACTTTTATCTTGAGTTATATTCTGTTACATTTCTAACTGAAGTTACTTGTTTAAACAATTTAATCCAGTTCTGGAATTACCAACTGGCACCTAACATAGACTTTATTGACCCTTGTAAATATTTTATCAGAGGCTTGGGTTCTTGATCCATATACCAGTTTACATATAATTTACATATAATGAAATATTAGAATCTCTCCTTGATCCTGGCTCAGGCGCATTAACAAAGAACGTTCTGGATCCATATTACCTCCCTTATGAAGTCTTAAATTTTTTCAATCTGATATGTATTCCATTGGAGGTAGTTCAAAATCTATATAGTTTACATAGTAATATTAAGAAATGTAAGCTATCCTTGAACTTTGGTTTGATTAAAAACGGAATTGGTTTCAGATCAAGATACTAGTAACTCACCTATTGAGGCTTTAGAAGCTCTCCTTGATCCTGGTCTAGACTCTATAACAGAGCCAGTTCTTGATCTAAATCCGTCCTCATCTTTTTGTTCTATAAATCCTACTAGTTCTGTACCTTCCTGATCATCGTCAAGGTCTGGATTGTCACTCGTAGTATATACTGCAATACATTTAATTTTCATATAATACATGGTTGTTGTTGGTGCTTTATCATGGGGTTTGTACTTACATGAGCAACACGACGGGTGCCACATGTGGAGCATGATCTGCTTATCCTTCCGGGACAACTGAAATCACCCAAGTTTTTGGTGGGTTTCGTGTTGCTAAGTCTTTAGTTTTCTATGTTGTTTTTGTGTACTGTTGTTTGTCTTTGGGTCTTTTTCTATTTTTGCCATGGCGTTGTCATTTTATTTTCGACTTATGAGTTTGAATGTACCTTTGGTATATTTCGCCTCTTTTTACGCCAGTTTCAGAACTCTTGGCTTTATCATGGCGGCTAGTTCTAATTTGGGAAGAAAACTGGAGTATCCGTAGAGAACCAACGACCTCCGGTAGGAAAACTGGCATAATTAGTCCTTTTAGATCGGCGTCGAATGAACATATCAACAGACAACAGGCAAAACTAATCAAAGATAACCGGGTAAAAGGCGCATTAGCAAATTAAATATGATTTTTGTTTTTGTTTCAAACATTTATAAAAGCGGAATTAAGAAATTAAATTTTGATATTAGCAGTAAGTTTGGTTCAATTTCGTCAAAATAAGCTTAAAAACATCGCTGATATATTATTGGCTTGCAAGTTCATAATTCAATTTCATTTGAATCCGTATTCATGCAAACTTTAATTTGAACTATAGTGGAGATAGATTGTGCATGTGTTCAGCATGTGGTTATCTTGTTCATTCATAAATTAGAAAAGAATGTCAACATTGAAAAGTGAAACAAGGGAGCTAAAATAGATAAACATTTTGTTGACTGATCTGGCCCACACACAATCATTCTTATACAGGGCATAGGTCAACAACACAGAAAGCCCAGCGACAATAAAACCTAACGACCTATAAAAGGCAATACATTATTGGTCCTTATATAAAAATAAGAGGATGAAGTATGATTGCCATTGAGACAACTATCCAGCGGAGTTCAAATGAAGTGGATGTAAGCAATTATAGGCAACCGTACGACCTTCAACAATGAGAAAAACCCATTCTGTATAATAGGCTATAAAAGGCGAAAAACAAATATGACAGACATGAACCAACGACAACCACTGATTGCTAACCACTTATATCTGGTTTCTTGCTAGCATTTATATTGTTCCAGATCAATGAGATTGCAGAGTTTAGTCCATTGTCAATAATTGATTTATCGAACCTGCACTGAAGGCAACTGCCTCAATAATATTGCTTTACGGTTCATAAAGGAGACTGAAAATCACAACGTCTAGAAGTATGTGGTATAAAATAGAAAAGCTAGATTACTCCATGACACAAAGGCGGGGTAACATAAAAGTTACAATTAAATTGATTGAATGTTGTTTGTTAAACTCCATTGACTGGTAACACATAACATAAAGATCGTATAATTTTTTGCTATTTTCAAATAGAAAAAATGATAAAATAGTATTGTTCGCGATTTAAATGCATAAACCTTTCGCAGAGACAAGATTCGCGCACCAACCTATAACGCCGTTGACATATTATTTGCTTTCGACAAACTATTCGTTCCCGGGATATTTTTGGAATTTTTACGCGACTGTCATACAAGTGAGAGGTTTAACTAGCTATAAAACCAGGTTTAATCCACCATTTTCTACAGAAGGAAATGCCTGTAAAATATGACAGTTGTTTTCCATTCGTTTGATGTGTTTGAGCTTTGCCATTTGTTAAAGGACTTTCCGTTTTGAATTTTCCTCGGAATTCGGTGATTTTTTGTTATTTTACTTTTGAACATTTCACTTGATCTCGAATAATCGAAAAAAAAACCACGTGCAAATTTCTACGTTGACCGTATTTAGTACAAACTAAACAAGCAAATGATTTAGGAGCAGAAACACCCAGTCATTTTCTCAAAGGGGTCTCTTTCTGTGTCCCATCTATATCTAATTTCCTCTTCCTAGTTTGTGGCTTTTATTATGGAACATGGTTCCTCAAAATTATCGACCTGTCTTTAATATTGTCTCTGGCTTTGATAAAGACAGTAAATTATATTTATATAACCATCAGACAAATATGGAATGTAATTTACATTTTGTTGACCATCGGACAATGATATGGACAGTGTTTATATCTAACATACCTGTTTTGCCTCCTTGCTTTTTTCTTTTTAGCCATACTAACTTCCCAGAATGCACTCCTGATCGTTTTTGACAGCAACAACAATAGAGCAGTAAACAACAAGATATAGAGACTATAAATCCTATCACTATACTTAAGGCAGTTCTAAAATTAGAAATATAAAAACGATTATATGAGGGTCTAGATGGGGTCTACAGAATAGAGAATAATGAGCCAATACAGCAGAAACATTGGCCTAAAAATAAAGAATAGAGAAAAATACGCCCAAAAACATAAAGAATAGAAAATAATTGGGTTCTAAAATATAAAAAAAAAAAAAACAGAAAATAACGGCCAAAAAATTAAAGATTAAGGAAAATTGACCTAAAAAAAACTTTAAGAATACAGACATGAAGGACCCCATCCAGACACTATAATGATACATTGGAAATGCCTGTATCAAGTCAGGAATATGACAGTTGTTTCCCATTTGTTTGATGTGTTTGAGCTTTTTATTTTGATATTTCATAAGGGACTTTCTGTTTTGAATTTTCCTTAGAGTTCGGTATTTTTGTTATTGTACTTTTTGTCACCTTTTTTCTATGTCATTTTTTAATTTCGCCGACTATTTTTTATTCTGTGAACCCCATCCATACCCTCATGCCGGACATGTTTCTGGTTCTACAAACACTCTATGATGTTGCAAAGACATAACCACAGATTAGAATTGCAATAATTTACGCATACAGAAGTGACTTGTATTACTGAAAAATTATTACACCAGGGTTTTCGATATCACAAACTAGTCAAAACATTTACTAAATTTTATCATCGGTACAAGGACATCATTCGTAAATATAAATCAACATACAGACATCTTATACGTTCAGGTATTTCACATCCAATCTTTTATGGTAATATTTTTTACAAAGCACAAAAATGTCGGCATTCACCTCTAAAGCCAACAAAACCTATAAACAGACTTATTAAGAAGGGATATAGTTACGATACTGTTGTCAGGTCATTAAAGATGGCATATTTTGGCTTTAATATTGATTCACTTATAGGGTCTTTGCATCGGAAATAAACACATTTATTTTAAAACCAGTTGTTGGCATGATATGGAGCTGGCATGTCAGTAACTGCTAGTAGTCCTTTGTTAATTTATGTATCATTGTCATTTTGTTTAGTTTCTTTTGTTACCTATTCTGACATCGGACTCGGGCTTTTTTAAAACTGAGTTTTACTGTGCGTATTGCTGTGTGTTTGTTTTTTCTACATTGGCTAGAGGTATAGGGGAGGGTTGAGATAAAAAAAAAAAAACATGTTTAACCCCGCTGCATTTTTGCGCCTGTCCCAAGTCAGGAGCCTCTGGCCTTTGTTAGTCTTTTATGATTTTTAATTTTAGTTTCTTTTATATATATTTCGGAGTTTAGTATGACATCCATTATTACTGAACTAGTAAACATTATTGCTTAGAGGCCAGTTGAAGCCCGCCTCTGGGTGCGGGATTTTCTCGCTGTATTGAAGACCCATTGGTGGCCTTCGGCTGTTTTCTGCTCGTTGGTCGGGTTGTTGTCTTTTTGACACATTTCCCATTTCCATTCTCAATTTTAATTTTACTTGAATACATGATTTTCCCATACACTTAATATGAAATTCATGATAATAACAAGAGAAGAGCAAATAGTTCAGTTCGTACATTTTTGAAAACATAGTCCATTCAAACTTTAAAACAATACATATATTCTAAAAAAAACAAACGGTGAAGGATTATGCTGTTTCTGGTTTAGTACAAACAATTTCCACAGAAAAGTTGAGCATCAATAGAATTTTTTTTTTCAAAGTTTAAATGGCAAAACCTAGTGAAAATGTTTATTTCAATTTGAATGTATGCAAAAATCATAATAAGCCATGAACTAGGACATTAAAATTCCGACTGCGTGTGCTGGTCTAGTACCAAGTCAGGGTAAATGTTCATATCACATTAATATGTTCTCGTTCTGATATGAAGAAATGAATGTAATATTTGCCACTGACGGTAAACACCAATTCATCAACATCAGCAATATCGTCATCGTCATCAACAATCGGGACTAGAAATCACCATGTATCTATAAATTCAATTGTAGGCAACCGAACGGCCTTCAACAATGAGAAAAATCAATACCGTATAGTCGGCTATAAAAGACACCGATATGAAAAATGTGAAACAATTCAAAAGAGAAAACCAACGGCCTATTAATAAAAAACAAAACAATTTACGAACAACAAAAATGACAAAGATGAACCAACGACAACCACTGAACTACAGGCTCCTGGCTTGGGACAGGCACATAAAAAATGTGGCGGGGATAACACGTTTGTGATCGCTCAACCGCCACCTAACCTGGGAAAGTGGTGTAGTAGAACAACACAAGAACAAACTGTAAAAATCAGTAGCAATTGGCTTAACTCTGAAAGATCGGCACGAGGCACAAAAACAGCTAACATAAAAATTAAAGAAACAAAGCAGAGAAACAAGAGTACTCGCAGTTACTGAAAGCTAGTTTAACTCTAATAACAACTAATAAATAAATCATGTTCTCCCAGACTAAAGTATAAATAAGTACACATCCAACGGACTTAGTGTAAATATGTCATTAAAAGTCTCAGAAACGCATGACCTTGTGCTATGCCGAAATATAAATAAACAGTACAGGATGTAGGATAATGAGTTCTTATAACTGTACATATATCGCAATATATATTTAGTTATGTTTAATGTTTCAAAAACAAAATCAATGTTAGTACCAATAAAACTCTTTTGTCGTAATTTTTTGTATAGTTTCCCGTGTGTAATTGAAATATACAAATTAAGAAATAGACAGTTATTGCTGTCTGTATTAGATTTATTTATTTCAAATGAGTTCCTTTGGGTACCTTATTTCCTTATGATTACTTAAGAAACTATTTCATTGTTCATTATTAAATTTTGAATTTTGAAAAATGAATAATGGACGTACTTCAGCCGTTGCTTTAGTGTTAGTTCTTGTAGCAACAAAATTACCCATTAACATACGTTATATCATATAACTTAATTTGCTATAAAATGTCGATAATGAACATTATCAATTATTACTCAAACGTAATTGAAACCGGGATTTAATAATGTCAATGATTTCATAACAGATACACTGAACACCTAGAGAAATAAGAAACTACAGGTTTTTGATGTGGTTCGGGTTGGTTAGTGTTTAGTTTTCGATGCAGTGTTTTGTAGACTTTTGTTTGTCTTTTCGTCGTTTACCATGATAGTATTGTCAGTTTTTCTTAGACTCATATTTTTTTTATTTCCCTTTGGTATCTTCAACCTCTCTTTTTGTAGGAAATATCAACTGTTTATCGCCGTTCCGTGACCTTTAGTTGTTTTGACATCATCGTCCTTCGGTCTCTGGTGTATGAATAGTTGTCCCATTTGCAATCACAGTTTTTGTTTACCACATCTCATTATTTATATATTCTCTGGCTTGGCTTAATCTCTGATGGCATAACTGTTACTAAACCACTTGCCATGATTTTAACTAATAATTATTTGAAACTCAATGGACACTTATGAAATCTTCTAGAATTGAGATAACACTTCAATTGTACTTCATAAGTTTTGCGAGCATCAGTTTGGGATTTGATGGTCGCATATATCGTTTTGTTAACTTCTCTGATGAGTTGCCTGTAGACCCAATTTAAAACCATCAAATCGCCAATTTATGTCCACAAATCTTCATATACAATATTGTCTTTTCCAAATTCAGAAAACGACCCACTAATTTGATGATTTTTTTTCATTTTTGAAAGAATACATTATTTATAATGTCATTATTGAAGATCAATCAAGTAAAGGTCTCAAATATTCAAGATTCAGAAAAACGAGAAACTGTGAGAACACCTTTATCATCAGGCAAAGTCATCAGGCAAAGTTGACCTTAGATGGATTTGGCTATTCTATTTAGATCCCTTTAGGTCATATAGCTCCTACAGTTATTTTGTTTTCAACCAAAGCTTTCATAGTTTTTGTTTGAGCGTTCCTGATGAAGGTATGGCCAGAAAAGTGTTTTAAACGCACAAACTTTACTACTGTTATTTTCATTATTGTAAAGAGGCGGTGCTTTATTTGTTCATTCAGTATATTTTAGCTTCTATAGATAGTGATGTTTTAACCTTGTAACAGAGACGCCATGGTGCTTTACTTTTTTTATTCAGTATCTTCAAATTACTGGATATTGTAAAAGGGCAGTGCTTTAGTTTTTCATTCAGTATATTTTATCTAGACTTGATAGTGGTGTTTTAACATTGTAACAGAGGTAGTGCTTTACTATTTCATTCAGTATATTTCAGCTACTGGATAGTGATGTTTTAATATTGTAACAGAGGTAGTGCTTTATTCTCTCATTTAGTATATTTCAGCTACCGGATAATGATGTTTTGATATTGTAACAGAGGCGGTGCTTTCTTTTTACATTCAATATATTTTAGCTATTGAATAGTGGTGTTTTAACATTGCTGCACAGTCGGTGCTTTACTTTTACATTCAGTTTATTTTAGCTTCTATAAATAGTGATGTTTTAACCTTTTAACAGAAGTGCCACGGTGCTTTTAGTATATGTTAGCTACCGGAGCTGTTATAACATTGTAACAGACTCTGAGGCAGTTTTTTACTTTTTCGTTCAGTATATTTAAGCTACTGGATAGTGGTCTTTTAACCTTGTTACAGAGGCGGTGCTTTACTTTTTCTTTCAATATATGATAGCAAGACTGGATAGAACTGTTATAACAGTGTGACTGAGGCGCTGCTGTACATTTTTCCTCCAGTATATTTTAGCTACTGCATAGTGTATTTTTAACATTGTTATAGTGGTGGTGCTGTTATTTTTCATTCAGTTTATTTTAGCTACTGGATAAAGCTGTTATAACATTGTAACGGAGGCGCTGCTTTACCTTTTCATTCACTATATTTAAGCTACTAGATAATAGTGTTTTTACATTGAAACAGAGGCGGTGCATTTCTTTTTCCTTCAGTATATCTTAGCTTCTGTAGATCTATAGTGATATTTTAACCTTATAACAGAGGCGCCGTGGTGCTTTACATTTTAATTCAGTGTATTTAATAATAATTTAATTTTGGATGTAACACATCTTCTGATTGGCTGAAAGTTTTCTGTCTATCAGCTTAACGACATAATTTTGTGATTTACTCCTTAAAAAAATGGAATTTGGAATTGAATTATAAGGAATGCCTTTAATATTTTTCTGTCTATTCGAAATAACATCAAAAGCACACTTTTAAATAACCTGCTACGTGGGTTATTCAGTGGGCATCACATTTTTTGTTATTTCTTCATAGACAGAAAAAATATTACAGTCATTTCTTAATTGTAACAGAGGCGGTGCTTTACTTTTCCATTCAGTATATTTTAGCTAGACTGCATAGTGATGTGATAACGTTATAACAGCTCTTATACGGAAGTCAAGGATGATCAATAATTCTTTCGATTATTACATTTTCAATGCATTGTTAAAGGATAATTAAAAAGAAAATTGTTTAAATGTCAAAGTTAAAATTGATACTTAATGTCGTGTAGTTAAGATTATTAGAGAGAGCAAGGTAATTACAAATAAGTCATTAAGTTAAAACTGTAATTTACTAAGTAAAATCGTGTAGTAGAAGCTTAAAACGCTTGTTGAAACATGACGTCTGAGGGAAATGACTTAAAAACTTATCTCAATAGAATTTATAGAAAAGAAAATAGAAACTGGGAAAGTGTCAAAGAGACAACAACTTGACCAAAAAACAGAAAACAGCCCAAGGCCACCTATAGGTCTTCAACGCAGCGGGAAAATCCCGCACTCGGAGGCGGGCTTCAGTTGTTCCTAAACAATAACATATACCAGACCAGCGAAATTGACGTCCACTTAACTCCGAAAAACATACATTGGAACAAAATTCAAACAGAACAAACAAGACAAGCAAAGGCTAGAGGTTCCTGACTTAGGACAGGAACAAAAGTGTGGTGGGGTTAAACATGTTTTGTGAGATCTTAACCCTCCTCCTATACCTCTAGCCAATGCGGATATGTTCTCTATACTTCTGTTTCACTCCGTGCATATCGTGCTTAAGGGGAGTTAAACCCATGAAAAGGGATATAACTCTTACAAATGATTATTACGTTTGTGTCAAACATTTTCATAATTGAATTGTAAGCTTCTTAGTAAGACAGATGTTTTTACTTCCGTTGATATGAAGAGGCTTAAAAGGCATTGATGAAACCGGATATTACAAACGCATTACCTATTTCAAGAATTACAAATGTATGTCCCTGAACCAAGGTCTACCCCTTGATGTTTCATTTTTCTCTCTCTCTAAATATAGGATGAATTAAACTACAAGGTTATCTTAAAAATGCATTGTCAATATTCTGTGAATGCTCGGATCAGGAGATACATGCAGAAATTGGTCCAAAAAACTCCTTGTTAGTAGTTACAAATGTACCACTTCGACAGAATGAGTTAATCATACCTGATGAAGTCATTCTTGTTTGTCCAAAATTGACAACAACCCCTAACTTTCGCTTTTTTTCAAATGTTATTTCTAGCATAGTTCACTTGTTTACTTTTGTAACTCAAAATAGTCTATCAATCGATTCGTAAGGTCTTTAATTTACACCATCGCCACAAATCCATGTCAGTCAGTTAATTTACACAATCGCCTTAAATCCATGTCAGTTAGTTCATAAGATGTTGCTGCTTTGCAACTTTGTCAAAGATAGCAGATTTGCTCCTTATATTCGAAACATTAATTACTAAAATATATGCTACATAGTTTAAGATTTACCCTTATGTATAGAAACTTTTTTATTTAAAATATGTACTACTTTCCAGTATGATCTTTTTTGACCGGGCCCGATTAGGTGGTGTTACATCTTACAAAGTCTATCCAAATTATTCTTGCAAAGAATACCGCTCAAAACGGTGCTACGTGCCGTCTTAAACTTGCAGTGAGATGATAATTATTTTGTTCCGTGTTGAAGGACTCACTGTGACTTTGAGATGAAGAGCAGAAATAAAAGCGCTGTTCCTTTGCTTTTTGTGTGTTTTTTCGCTGTGCATGTACTGATTTTGTGTCATGGAGGGATACCCCATATCCTTTGTTTGTTTGTTTGTTTGTTTGTTTTTTATTTTTTCTGTATTTCATTCCATTCGATCATCCTGAATACGCATGTAAAAGAAGTGTGTATTTTTTAAATTATAATTGTTTGAGTAAATCTACTGTGAAGGTATTTTAGGCTGAGGTTTTACACTCATTTACACAACTATAACAAGTTCACTACCGGTAAATGTATAATAACTTTATAACTTACATTAAATCAAGAGTTACATCTTGCTTCTTCGGATTTTTACGTATACCTGGCAGACAACAAAACTGTTGAGGTTTGTCTCCGCAACATGCTGTCCATTCGGAAGGATGTCCGGAGTCTGGACAGTAGAATGTACCGTTCGTTGCTGTAATTGATTCATTGAAGCACTTGGTACCTGCTGCAATGAATTTTCAAGAAGGTCCAATATTAAAATTTACCCTATATTTTTGTCTTCAAATACAAACAATTGTAAATAATTAAGTCATGTTGGAAAATACTATTGCCAATTCATTATCTTATAATTATCATGATCAACCTATTTATATTGTGCGCCACTGCGACACAGTCTTAAACTAAGACTTAAGGTAGTATGGGTGTATTTCGCCATCTTGGATTGTAGGATAGCAGAACACTATAGGTCCATATTTTCAATCAAGTCAGCAAAATTTGATGCAGGAATGCAATTAACTAATTATATGTGAATTTTCATTCAAAGGAACAAATTTATAAGATTTTAACTTATAATTACTAATATTTTTACAACCGTTTTGATTTAGATTTTATTTTTTTTTTCAAATTTAGCGTATTAAGTGGAAGTTACTCTGAAATAGTATAATTTCTAAAGGAATCTACATGATTTTTTTCTATTTTATGATATAGCAGAAAAAAACGTGCGGTGACCCTATCTTTTCTTTTAATTGATATTCCGAAAGCATTTTCTAAGAGCTATCTTCTCGTATTTTATTTCAAAATTCTACCATTTAGATTACTTTCTATTCAGATAATGATGTTTTTTTCCTGTATAATCCATACAAAATGTGTCATTTTGTCACAACCTGTAGCTTGAAAAAATAATCGGTGACCTATCATTTTAAGTATGTTTTTGAACATACCAACATATATACTTTATACAACAAAGTATGAAAAAATTCTATCATTTTTCGTTTATACTCCCATACCACCTTAAAGACCTGAGCAACTGTATGTCAATTTAAATTACAAATACAAAATCTGCCTTCTCTATGAATCCTTAATATGTTCTCGAATGTAGCAATAGCAATAATGTGTGTAAACGTATGTATGAATTTCAAGTACTAAATAAATTCCAAAAGCTTTCGTACTCAAAATTTGAAAATGGTAAAATCCAAGGTAATGATAGATACAACTTTAAGATTCTGCGTCTGTAGCTATCAATAAAAAAGTTTATTTTGAAATAAATAACATGATACTGTGTCTTTAATATGAGAATCGTGACGTCCCCTCCATCCCCCCCCCCTCCCCCCCCCCCCCCCCGATAAAAAATGTTTATCTAAGCCTTCTCAAACATTTACGTGTATTATATGCAATTGCACTTCGATTTTTTAATTTGCTTAATCGGGCAGGGTAAACTAGTTTACACATCACACTAGGTATCCAGATCCGGAATCTGCAGAGGAATCCGAATCACGAGAAGTAAATAATGAAAATTGTGTGACGGTGGATGGGTAAAATCTGGATTCGATTCCTGATGAGCGAAATTCCTCCGTGGAAATCGGATCCAGGAATTACCTAACCAACGTTACAAACTTTTCATTCATTGCTCCCCGGGCTTGAGATCCCTCCGCGGTTTCGGATCGGGATATCCATTGAAGAAGGAAGTGTAAAAAAAAATCGTGACATTACCAGTTCACGTACCAGATCTCCATTTTTTTCCAAATTGTTACCATATGCATCTGTATTTTAATGAATCGCCAGAGGGAATCGAGATGTAAATCGATCGAATAAAATTATCCTCCCTTGACATATAAAAAACGTGATAGCCTTATAATGCAGACACGACAACCCGATCTTAATATGTAAGCTTTTAAGCGACAGAATGACATTTTTCTCTAATTATATACAGGAAAAGTAATTTGTCTTTCTTCTTTGTAGCTTAAATGTTAACTGAAAGAAGAATAGATTCTTAATGGAGGATAAAACAAAATGATTGAAGCGATTATGATCCGCGTGGTGAGTTTGTTGAAATGGTGACCAGTCGCGTTATTGTTATGTGTGTGTCACTGATGATCTGTCGAAGGGATCAACAGAAACACATAACAAATATAAAACTATCATTTCCTTTCATCTTCTAGGACAAAAAAAAATCATTACAGGGAAATGAATACTTAGTCTAGTAGTTAAGGATTATTATAACTATGTTATGGATAAGTTTTGAATAAAGTATTGAACTGTACAGACGTATTTTCTTTAGATTCAGCCTGATCCTATAATGTTAGTTTTTCTCGTTTGAATATTTTACATTTGTCATTGCGGGGCCTTTTATTGATTGTTATGCGGTATGATTTTTGCTCATTGTTGAAGGCCGTACGGTGACCTATAGTTGCTTACTTCTACATTTGGTCTCTGGTAGAGAGTTTTCATACCACATCTTGGTTCCGTAACACGGAGATAATGAACATCAGCCGAATGAAATCTTTCACAGCGTGGTATACAGCAGCGGTGACAAAAGTTTTCAACAAACATCACAAGTGACCTTTCTGCACTAATAATAAGGCAACTGGTTCATTTAACAATAATACTGTTTTGGCAACGACAACCACAGAATTACAGGCTCGTTACTTGGGACAAGCACATACAGAATGTGGCAGGGTTAAAGATGATAAATCTGTTTACCTGGTATTTTAACTTTTGACGAACTAACATTATAATCCGTCTGTTTTTCTGATGAGGTAACATTGACGTCAGTTTTGATTTTCTCCGCCCTTTTATAACGACTGTTAATGATTTTCCATACTGAGTAATCGTTGTTTGTAAGAGGCTCGTAAAATGAAGCTTTGATCACATCTATAAAAGAAATAAAGTATGCATTAACATTAACAGAATGTACTATAAACTGATGCTAATGAAATAAAAGAGAGGCGAAAGATACCAAAGTGATATTCAAACTCATATGTCAAAAATAACTGTCAACGCCATGGCAAAAATTAACAAGAAAAAAGACCAAAAGACAATCAACAGTATACAAAACATAATATAAAATAAGCATTATTGTTGAATAACTATTTTACATATTTTGTATGTTGAATGTTATGGCAAAATAGTCAATTATAGCTGACTGTGCGGTATGGGCTTTGCTCATTGTTGAAGGCCGTACGTTGACCTATAGTTGTTAATTTCTGTGTCATTTGGTCTCTTGTGGAGAGTTGTCTCATTGGCAATCATACAACATCTTCTTTTTTATATATACACTGTGGTCTGAAAGTTCTTTGGTCGACACTGAATATCAACGCAATTGATATGCAAAACACATTGTATGTGTACACCCAATTATCAACAATTGTGTATCTCATATGAGTAAAACAGGATGTGGTGTATATAATTTAAACGTCAATTAGCTTAAGTCAACAGTTCACATCATAAGCGGATCTCGAACAAAACCGCCAGGTCATTACGAAAAGAGGAACATACTTGGAAAAACGTCGTGTCGAACACAATTTTTGCGGCTAACCCAGTTTGACTATATATTTAAAACAAGAGTGCACACGCTGAAATGTCTCGCCTTCTTTACTGACCATTGATTTTATGTTGATAGTCCTAGGTATAAAGCTTTACTAAAAGTATCACATAAACTTAACACTATCCAAGAAAATGAGGTCAAGGTCAGATAAACCAAACCGTAAATACATGTACACCTAAAAATCATTCTATACACCAAATATAGTTGACCTATTGTTTATAGTTTCTAAGAAACAGACTTAAACAGGAAAACTAAAAAGAACCATGAAAGTAAGGTCAAGGTCAGATGAACCATGCCAGACAGACATGTATACCTTACAATCAATCTATGCATTAAATATAGTTGACCTATTGCTTATAGTATCTAAGAAACAAAAGAAACAAACTTAACCACGAAAAGTTAACATTGACCAATGAACCATGAAAATGAGGTCAAGGTCAGATAATACCTACCAGACAGACATATACACCTTACAGTCATTCCATACAACAAATATAGTTGACCTATTGCTTATAATTTAAGAAAAACAGACCAAAACACAAAAACTAAACATTGAAAATGAGGTCAAGGTTAAATAAATCCTACCAGACTGACATGTACATAATAAAATATTTCCATACACCAAATATATTTGACCTTTCGCATATAGTATTAGACAAAAAAAACAAAGCACAAAAACTTAACTTTAACCACTGAACCATGAAAATGAGGTCAAGGTCAGATGACACCTGCCAGTTGGACATGTACACCTTACAATCATTCCATACACCAAATATAAAAGACCTTTTGCTTATAGTATCTGATATATGGACTTGACCACGAAAACTTAACCGTGTTCACTGATCCATGATATAAGGTCGAGGTCAAGTGAAAACTGTCTGACGGGCATGACGACCTAGCAAGGTACGCACATATTAAATATAGGTATCATATTACTCATAATAAGAGAGAAATTAACATTACAAAAAATCTTAACTTTTTTTTCAAGTAGTTACTGAACCATGAAAATGGGGTTAAGGACAATGGACATATGACAGACGGAAATTTTATAACATAAGGTATCTATATACAAAGTATGAAGCATCTTCCACCTTGGAAAATATATAGCTTTAAAGAAGTAAGCTAACGCCGCAGCCGCAGCCGCAGCCGCCGCAGACGCAGCCGCCGCAGCCGCAGGATCACTATCCCTATGTCGAGCTTTCTGCGACAAAAGTCGCAGGCTCGACAAAAATCATATTTAATTATTTCATATGGTGTTGTAACCTGTCCTCCGTGTTTTTATGAAAATTAAACTGTTTTAAATGTCACACTTTATCTCACATTCAACGAACTGTGCTTTTATTTTTATATTTGATATTTTGTATATCAACCCCTTTGTAAATTGTTATTTCATTCGTATTTCACAATATTTACTCTTTGTTAGATTCGTTCAGAGATTCAAATATCATCTGATAGTTTGTTTCTGCTTGGGACAAATTGACAATTATAACAACTGGATGCTGCCAGCAAAATCACCTCGTTGCTATGATAATTTTAGAGTTACCCCCTAACTCTATCTATTATAGTTTTCAAAAAATAGGCAAAAATGGAAAAAAAAAGTGGTAAAATTCGTCATTTTAAGGAAATAACTCCTATAAAAAGTCGTATGACAGTTTGACGTAAATAGACAATAGGTAGAGCTCAACTTTCTGAACATTTCTGCCCTTGTCAGATTTTCTCTATTTATAGCGGTTTTCAAAATAATAGACAAAACTTACATTTGACCCCTATGTTCTACTTTTAGCCGTTTCGGCCATCTTGGTAGGCAGCCGGGGTCAGCGGACACATATTCAAAACTAGATACCCCAGTGATGATTGTGGCCTAGTTTTGTTAAATTTGGCTCATTAGTTTCAGAGGAGATGATCTTTGTAAAAGTTAACGGACGACGGACGAAGACGACAGACGACTAACGGTTAGTGATAGGAAAAACTCACTTGTCCCTCGGGCTAGGTTAGCTAAAATGATAGAATAAAAAAAAAGAAATAAAGGTCAAACAAAAAATTATAAAGAATAGACTGAGAAAATGGCCTAAAAATCAAAGAATACAGAAATGAAGGACCACCAACAAGACCTTCATAAAAGAGCTGTGACTTTTCTAGTTCACCTCGGGAATGTTGTTCCCTATATATCCACATCACGTTCTATTCCCTAATAAAAATTAAGTTTTATTGACTACACAAATCCCAATAGTACATTTTCCGTCGATATATACTAACAATATGAGCATGATATATCCTCTGGCAGGCATATATAATATTCTATAGTAATTCAATGAATGAACAATTTATTTCGTCAATATGGAAATGCAATTAATAAGGACATCTGCCGAACCATACTATTGATAAATTCATTCACCAACTGCATTGAAACATGTGAATTTCCCATCAAATGCTACAACTGATATGTTTTGTATAGAGACATAACAGCTTTATACACAATGATATGCTGTAATAGTTAATACTTGGATAAGAAAATGATTCCTCCAAATTTTTTTTTTTATCGGAACGCAGGTATTGATTGATCAGTGTAATATGAAAGCAGAAATTCTAAACACATTACTTTAAAAGGAAAAAGTCTTTTTTTCAGACCATAGACAAGAATCCATTAAAGAACATTGCAAACCTTGTCAATTACATTTATTTGTATGTACTATTGAATTCATGTCACAATTACATTGTATAAATGTTATTATGAAAGAAGGTTTTTATCATGTTTAATATGCTAAAGGTTTAGAAAGAAAATGGAATATGTAATAGCATACAAAGCCGTAAATTTCGACATTTCATAATCTTAAATATTATGCCATACAACGCAAATGTTGCGATTTTTGATTCACTATCAATGGCTAGATTTATATACATATATATAGTATATCGATTTTTTTATTGAATTTCTTACATGTAATGTTATATAGGAATTCGTCTCCATATAAATCTCACATCCATAATTTGGTTAAATTCATAGACGGGTCTCATGGAATGTAGCTAGGTAAATTTTCCCTCCATATGCTTTCCCTACAAAAGCTCATAGACGGGTCTCATGGAATGTAGCAAGATGAATTTCCCCTCCATATGCTTTCCCTAGGTTAAGCTCATAGGCGTGTCTCATGGAATGTAGCTAGGTGAAACTCCCCTCCATATTTCTTCCGAGGGTTAAGCTCATAGACGGGTCTCAGGAATGTAGCTAGGTGAATTTCCCCTCCATATTCCTTTCCTATGTTAATCTCATAGACAGGTTTAATGGAATGTAGCTAGGTGAATTTCCCCTCCATAGTTCTTCCGGATCCCTAGGTTAAGCTCATAGACGGGTTTCAGGAATGTAGCTAGGTGAATTTCCCCTCCATATGCCTTCCCTAGGTTAATCTCATAGACAGGGCTCATGGAATGTAGCTAGATGAATTTCCCCTCCATATTTCTTCCCTAGGTTAAGCTCATAGACTGGACTCATGAAATGTAGCTAGGTGAATTTCCCCTCCATATTTCTTCCCTAGGTTAAGCTCATAGACAGGTCTCATGGAATGTAGCTAGGTAAATTCCCCCTCCATATGCTTTCCCTATGTTAAGCTCATAAACAGGGCTCATGAAATGTAGCTAAGTGAATTTCTCCTCCATATGCTTTCCATAGGTTAAGCTCATAGACAGGGCTCATGGAATGTAGCTAGGTGAATTTCCCCTCCATAGTTCTTCCCTAGGTTAAGCTCATAGACGGGTCTGAGGAATGTAGCTAGGTGAATTTCCCCTCCCTATGCTTTCCCTATGTTAAGCTCAGACAGGGCTCATGGAATGTAGCTAGGTGAATTTCCTCTCCATATGATTTCCCTATGTTAAGCTCATAGACAGGGCTCATGTAATGTAGCTAGGTGAATTTCCCCTCCATATTTCTTCCCTAGGTTAAGCTCATAGACAGGGCTCATGGAATGTATCTAGGTGAATTTCCCCTCCCTATGCTTTCCCTAGGTTAAGCTCACAGACAGGGCTCATGGAATGTAGCTAGGTGAATTTCCTCTCCATATGCTTTCCGTAGGTTAAGCTCATAGACAGGGCTCATGGAATGTAGCTAGGTGAATTTCCCCTCCCTATGCTTTCCCTAGGTTAAGCTCATAGACAAGTCTCATGGAATGTAGCTAGGTGAATTTCCCCTCCCTATGCTTTCCCTAGGTTAAGCTTATAGACAGGGCTCATGTAATGTAGCTATGTGAATTTCTCCTCCATATTTCTTCCCTAGGTTAAGCTCATAGTCAGGTCTAATGGAATGTAGCTAGGTGAATTTCCCCTCCATATATCTTCC